CAAATGCAAGCTTTCTTGTAATTTCTGTATTTTGTGTTTCTTTTTATCATCTGCTAATGTGGATCTCTGCAACTAACTGTTTTTTACCCAATTTAAACTTTTGGTAAAGCTGTGGTATGACAAGAATCTGATGAGTGTAAGTAAACTTCTGACCACATCTCCATTCGTGACTGTCAGACCACTCGAGCAGACAGCTGAATATTTCCATATTCCATATTTTCAGAACTGCAGTGTGACAGGGTCCTTACTACATACCGGAGGAGTTTACGCGTGCATTCCTGAATGTTTTGTACGTACTATGGGATGTCATCCACTTTGTTACAAGAGTTCAGAATTTGCATATTTGTGCTTTCTTGTATTTCTAGAATAATTATACAGCTTCCACAGTCTTAATCATGTGCAAAGCAATTTCCCTGCAAGTTTTTCCTCATTATTTGCTAGAAATGTCTGTGGCGTTAGTACACAGAATCCCAATTAACCCTGATTCTGAGTGTAAAAACAACCCTTAGTGGGGCCTCTCTCTTTACAGTTTCCAACCAGTGCATTCAACAATCATTTATGTGGCTGAACAAAGCTCTACTTCAGAGCAACTGGACTTTGTTTAGTGTAGATATTGCCCCGAAATGCAATAAATTTGTGAATGAGTTGCTTGATGTTGCACTTTAACCAAATATACACACACACCTATGTTCTTGGCTGTAAAAGGTTCCCTAATAAGAATAAATCTTATCTTTGAGATAAAAAAAAAAAGTGTAGTTCCAAAAAAAAGAAGCAGTACTCACTGGTGCGGGTTCACTGCAAAGGTTGTAGCCAGACTCAAGGAATATTCCCATTTTTATGGACTCAGGTGACTTGAGAAAGCTGAGCAAGTAGTCAAATGTCTCTTTATTCCATTTTCTAAATGTCAAGGACAAATATGGGAATAATGTAGCAATAGTAATGTTTGTAGATAAAAACTAAAATCTAAAGGAAAGTTAAATAAAACACACTCACGTCTCCTGAACGTTGCCCTTATCATACAGATAAGGCTGCCAGAAGCCGGCTGCTCCATCACTAGTGGTCAGTGGAGTGAACTTGTCTGCATACACCTCGATGGTTAGCGGACTGACAATAGAGTGATAGTGCTCATAGATGCTCTGAGCTGTTGACAGGCCAATCACTCCTGCCCCAATCACTGCCACCCGCATGTCTGCACTAACATGAGACACAGTGAGACTCACTAACCCATGAAGGAATCAAACATAACCATTAACCAGCAGATTGAGTAAGACTGGATTCAATATTAACATTAAAACGATTTTCTTCTTCTTCTTCTTTTTGTCTATTTGCTCATCGTTGAGAATAAGTTATATGTTAATGAAATATTTAAATAAAATGTAAAATATTTCAACATTTTAAGTCAATCATTACATGTGCGTATGCAGTATCTATAACAGAAATTACAATAAAGACTTTAAACAACCTATCTCCACTGATCAAACCTGCTGCATAACTGAGGGGTGAGGCACAGCTGTGCAGAACTTGTGCTTCCACATGGTTATTATTAAGAGTACAGTATTACGTAACACTGAGATCTGGTGAAACAAAGAATCCATCTGAGAAGCAACAACTTAGTTACTGAAACTTGAGTAAAAGCAGCATGGTTAGAGGGATCAGACGCACGTGCTGTCAGCATAGTCCACTTTATAGATTACAAATAAGTTTCGCCTTACCTTCACTCTGGTTTTCCACCGCTTTGGGCAGAGTTAAAAAGCAAAAGTGTTTCAGCTCCTACTTCTAACTGGTCCGCCTCTCTCTTGCTAGCAAGGCGGAGATTGCAGGCACGTAGAGCGCAAGACGCGTTCACGGTGTATAGTTTAAACCGCAATCAACCTACTGAGAAAATCTTCTGTCGATCTCGCCTGATAATTAAAAGGACTGCAACGATGGCAGTCACAGTGTTGTCCAAAACTCTTGACCCTTACACAGAAATACAGCATATAAGACAAAAACATAGATTGTACAGTTCCAACGAATCTGAAAGTCAGTATTTGCTATCACCACTTTTATTCTTCAACACAGTCGGAACTGTCTTGGTCAGTTTTCTTGTCATTTCTTTAATTAATCTTCAGGAATAGTACTCCAGGCTTTTTGAAGGACATTCAAAGCTCTTCTTTGGATGTTGGCTGCCTTTTGTTGTGTTCTCTGTTTACATGATCCCACACTGCTTCAATAATGTTGAGGTCCGAGCTCCTGGGAGGCCAATCCATGACTGGTAGTGTTTTCTATCCCGGTCTCTTTTTACTGCATTGGCAGTGTGTTTGGGATCATTGTTATTTCATTTCAAAAACTTTAATGTGCTGAATTAAAATCAGAGATTTCGTTAATAATGAAGAAATGTT